AATTTCGGAGACATGCAAAGAGATGTGATCTAATGGCGCTCGAGAGATTTCATGAGGCAAGATATGAAAATGAATGTTTTACGATGATTTTCATACGGGAATCGTTTCGAAACGTTGGGACTCTTCTCGCTCGAGGGAAGGCTAACGAGGGACACTTCTTCCAAGGCTAGGATCATTGAGGGAATCGATAACGTCGAACGTGGTACATTAAATGCATGCATGATTTTTCAACTCGATGGTACCAGTAGTACTAGAGGAAACCGGTTAAAGTTGCGCAAACCCCAAGGAATTCAGGATGTGAAATGATTTCTTTACTTGTAGGGTAGTTAATGCGTGAAGTGGAGATGCAGTGGCTTCCCCTTCCGGGACTCTCTTTAAGAAAAGGCTTCATGCCTTCAAGACCAAAACAAAAAGAACGGAAGCAATGTTGCTGTGAGCGACTGGGCAGTTGACGGATATGTACTCGCAAAAATGTATTTCCTTAAGATGGGTCTTGCATGTATCTTATGATACATGCATGCTTGACCTTGACACGGGATGTCATAATGGGCGAAACACAACTCACTGTAGCTACCCGAACTTTGAACTTTGAACCTTGAAGCGTTAATAATCTAACTCTGTATTTTTTTATCTCTAAAAGGATGGGAGGAAACGAAGAAATACAGACAAATTGACGGGAGAGAGGGAGGTTTACTCTCCAGTATCAATGGCAAGAGGAAATGTCATTGAGTAAGGGTTCCATAGTTTACGACATTCCTCATGCAACATTGCAAAATAAAATGGATGGCAGGAATGGAAGAAAGCGATTAGAAACACGAGAAAACGCTCTGAAGAAGGAGAAAGAACCACTTTGAAGAGAAACCTTCAAGAACTTGCAAGAATAGATAAAGAAGAATAATAGAAGCGTACATTTGGATCAGCAAAGAAATTCTAAGTTTTGTGCAAAAATTATTGGACAGAAACTAATATTTCAACTCTATTTGGGAATAAGAGAAAGAGTTTTGGCAAGTTCATCCAGTAATGAAATAGCAATTTTTTTTAAATCAGGAAGGGGATGCAGCAAATATACCATACCCCTGTCACATGGCATCCATTCATATCGGTTTAGGCCTATGTGACACTTGAACAAGATGGACTTCGATTCACCAAAGAGCCACTGCAACTACAGCAGCAACTGTGGAGTTTCTAGAAATTTTGTGCTATTTAATTACCTGTAAGTCACTGTTTAATTCGGACACGAGGCTGTTCGAACTCAACTCCTGTCCATCGATATACACTAGCGGAAGCTTAGTTTCTGCCCGATACATTTCATGCTACTACAGTCGACGCTCGATATAACGAACTCGAAAGGGACAGGCCAAAAATTGTTATCATTAGGAAAATTCATTACAGGGAATTCCCCTCATTTCACCGAAAAATGAGGCCTATTAAAAAAAATTTTCATTGCAAAAAAAGAGGATGTAGTTTGCGAAGGTCAAAGTACATGTCATATTGGAAAAATACAGCTCCCAAGATGTGTGTATGTACCTAAATGAGCGTACACAGCAGTACAAGTTGTGTCCTTATGTCGGTGTGATACAAATCGGACGAGTCACCAAAGATGTATATTCGTCGGAAAAAGTCCCCAATGGATGTCAGCCGTACTCATTCCTGAACGATTCTTTGAGCCATGGTCTGCAGAGCTCTCGACGTTTGAAAGGTTTCAGGTTCAACATTCGGCCTTTGACTGAAAAATAGCCAAAGATGGTCGAAGGCTTCGATTTCCTGACCGAGCGGAGTTCTAGACTTGGTCTGACCCTCATCCTTAGGATCCTGAGAAGATTAAGACTGACTGACGTTGCTCCCTTACTCCCCGCGGCCAAACCCTTAGGTGGGTGCTAAATTTAGATAAGAGATGAGATTTTCCAAGAATGCACGAAGTAGCTCTGACGTGTGCAGAAGATTTAAACTTCGTAATTCGGAACAGTTTTGTTCCTTCGGAGAAAAAAATGATCTCGCAAAACCTAACGATTCATTGCACAGTACTTCGTTTCAGAGAAGCTTGTATTGGAATGGGCAAACGGCCGGGAACTGGAAAAAAATAGCTCCCAGGGTAGAAAGGTATTATAACAGCCCATCAAAAGTCAATGCACTAATATCACGGCATTACCTACTCAAGATAACTTTTTAAAAGTAACCTAACAGACCATGAATCGGGGGTGGGAGGCGGGGGAGAGGGGGGCATGATTGATGTATTTACGTCCATATTCCCAGACTGAACAGCCTATGACTCATAAAAAAGGGAGAATAAAGAACTTCTTAAGGATATCCCGATTTTGATTGACAAGTTAAGGGGAGGAAAGGGTGGGCGGAGGGAGGAGGGATGGGAGCTAGGACACCAAGTCAAGGAACACAGGGGTCAAAAAAGGGGAGAAGAGATTAGGGTAAAGCCATAGGAAGAGGAGCGGGATGATAGAAAGTGAATGAGGAAAAAAAATTTTTAAATCCTCCAACCTCAAATGATAGCGGTAGCTCTGACGTCTGGCACTATACCTCGTAGATATAAATGTCTTAATCTCAGCCCTCTCCCCTCCGGCCTCCAAGCCCCCAATCACGTTCGAAGTTAATTTTTTTTTAAAGTCACCTTTAGAAGGTTATCTTGAGTTAATAATGCAGTGATATTAGAATACTGTATTGACTTGATGGGCTGCCATAGTATCACTTTACACTAAGAACCCATTTTGTCCTAGAACTTTTTTTTTTGGACCTAAATTACCGGGATCTTTTTGTCCTGAGTTCGCATTCACCGGCGTAATAAAAAAAAAAAAACAACAAATAGGATATGACATTGCTGATTTTCCAAATGAAAGGATGAAAGGAAGGAGTTAATGGGCCTGCCAGTTAGTGGACATTGTATGAGCCCTGATGAAGTGACACGTCGATATTGTAACTCAACTATTCATAGTAAGACGGGATGTTATCGGACTGCGATCAAGGAAGGTATCGTGGCCCGACAGACACAAAGCTTATGAGGCCTGAGGGCCAGGAGGGTGCCTCCACCCCGTCTTTCCACCATTCAGATTCGAGGGCTGCAACCGCCCTCCGCCCCCCCTAAATACTCTGAGCTTGAACTCGTCGTCATTCATCTGATCCGGAATCAGTGTGAAGAGAAGTGGAACCGTGACCATGTTCTCGTGCTTCCAGCCTCCGCTCACCGAGTCCCAAGAGGTATGTTATTTATATCTCAATTCACCTGCTTTGCGTGCTTCTGTAAATGAAGATGGTCTTGAATATCTGAGAGTAAATAAAACATATGCTTACTAGTATTTGTATGATGCAGCAAAATACTTCTCGTTCAATAATACGGTTAAAATGTGAAGATGGCTATCGCGTGCTAGGTTGGGTGGAGTTTGACGCTGAATTGTACATGAAGTCATGTCGCCCTTTACTGACCTACCTTCCGTTGTGCCGATATCAACTTCTTTCGTGTGGCATAAGTATGCATATGAATGAACTTGCAACCATTATCTAGGCCTCTAATGATACTTTCAGCCATTCGGTACATACGGACAATGCAGGAAAAAAACGTATGCAGACTTATCTGCACCACTTTCAGAGTAGAATAATAAATCACTAGAAATCGCCCATCCTAATTTCAATCAAGCAGTGCATTTTCCTTGGGACTTGGCTGTGGTGTTCAGAGTAGAAACTCCGGACTAGAATACATTTAAAATAAACGTCGCCTCGTTCATCTTCCACATGCGGAGACTTCTCCCGTCATAAGTTTGACGGATCGAAAAACATCTCAAGGTTTAGATCTGAATCTCCCACCGGCGTAGAACTAGGTTATCAGTTTGTCGCCCACAGATGGAAAGCACAAATGTGAAAGGGTGAAATGTCGCATAATTTTAAATGCACTCTCATGCTGGTTTTTATCATTGAAGTTATTGCCAGAAGAGGTTGAGATTCCATTTAGATTCGGCTCGTCAAGAATGGCAGAAAAATGAGAGGGAAGGGGTCAAAGGACAACAAGCTTGAAGGGACTGGAAGCAGAAAAACAAAAACACTGGACAGGGAGATGAATAACAACTCTCCAGTCCAGATCAATGAAGAAATTCGCCCTCGGGGCTTTGACCAGAAAAAAACCCACCGAATTTTGATAACATCTCAATAGGGAGGTTCAAGATAGTTTTTGTCACTGACCGGATGTTAGTGAGTAGGGATGCTCTCCAATTAGATGGTTCGCATCATCATGCATAATTATTATCAATATTTCTCCCTGCTGCAAAATGGAATGCCAATGGAAGATTATCTTAAAATGTATTGATGGCGTCGTTCGAGTGGTAGCGAATGTAAAGTGATTTCCCCTCCACGAGTATCTCTTAGAATGGAAATCTTCCCAGATAGCAAGCTCATGAGCTTTATTTTCACTTAGACGTCATCTTAGGACAGTCCTGGGATTAGTGGAAACAGTGACTCACCTCCCTCCTGCTGTGCCTCCGGGCAACATGGTCATTCCCAGAATTATACTGAATCTATCCCGGGTCTAGGTCTCCATCGAAACGTATCAGTGGGTCTACTAAGTGAGACTATTGGCGTCTGGCAAGTGAGCTACCCAAGGACTTCTCGATGTTCAAGAACCTGAATGTCAATGATATTGAGTTCCCGTGGTGGCTATAGTGGAAAGTAGTAACTGCGCGACTGATCCGGCATTGCGGGCCTCATTCCTCAAGAATTGTCCAGCTACGGATAGTCCTTTTGATTGCCAGGCTCGTTCCCTTTCCAGAATCCTGTCTGGTCTGCTATGAATAGAACGGATAGTAAGGATAGAACGACGAAGGAGATTCCAAAAGAAATTGTGAAGAAACTGGTCGGTTGGAGAATAGCTGCCTCTTGGTGCCGGGGAAGAACCGTTCATTCTGTCCATCCTCCAATGACAGCTTCCAAATTTTACTGTCTTGGATGAGACAGTTTTGGTTAATTAAAAAGTGATTTCTTGCATAAATTGGGATTAAAAACAAATGCATGTCAGTCTGCTTGCATATATCTTGTGGTGATACAATTTTGGATAGGAAAGAGTAAAAGTAGAAGCCGTTAGGGGACCCACTTCTGGTCCTCTCTCTGGGACTGCTAGGCAACTCGCAGTGTTGAGAATTCACAGATAGGTAGATAGAGGTAAGTAAGTATTCCCATTCAAGCACCTTCTGTTTTACCTATCCTGCTGATCTTTTAAAGATCCAAATGCATTAAAACTAACAGCCAAGGTTGCCTCCTTTTCCGGGAAATATTAATTCGGAGACTGCAAGTCTGTCAATCGGAAAAGATTCATGCCCTGAAGCATCCATTGGGATGGTAGGGTCTGGTCCATCCCTTAGTTACAAGGCTGTAATGCCAGAAAGTGACAGCAACTCATTTTTCATTCGAATATAAGGTAATCATTCCGCTTGTGTGTGTAGACTAGACCTCGGAATAATAGACGCGAGGATGTGTAAAACGTCCCCGAGTATCACGCGTGTCCCCATTCATCCCGCTGGAGGTAGGATGACTGCCTCTTCGGAATGAGGTCTCCGCCCCTATATTTTATCGGGATCCCGACCCTTTTATTGATTAATATTAAGTCCCATACTTGTATTGATTGGCACTCACAAGGAGATTGACTCCCGAGGTGAAAATGTCCGCTTATCCAAAACCAACTGTTGAAGAGGACTTCGCGGGCAGGACAAAATCAACTAGCAGGCCGGCAGACATGCTGGCCTAGGCCGACCCGAAGTTCATGGAAGTCTTCCACGGGTCAGCTGGTTGGGCTGCATTTCTTTTACGTAACATTTCCCCCCAAGTGTATGAGGACCCAATAATGCATCTCTGAGGATACATTCGCTTTGATGTAACTCTTAAGGAGCGCAGAAACTATTGAGTCCTCGGGGTTTTCTGACAAGGGCAAGGAAAATTTAATTCAATCGCAGAATTGGAAGGAGGAAAGATAACTTCATTCTAAGGTTTACATATTGTCATTCTTCAAGTAAAATAAATGATTACTTTGGATTCAGTATTTGAAAAAAAAGTCCACAAAATGAAGTTCTCGAGACAAGACCGACCAGCGGCAGTTCCAGTATCTCCCATGATGAAGCACCATGCGTGGATTTCTGTTGCAGAATCGCCTGAGCACAGCCACAAAAATAACATCTGTGATATCGACCGACATCAACGAGGATAATCCAGACGGTGTAAGTGTACCCCCAATAACCCCTGATCTTCTGCGTCAGCCGAAGAGGTCTGATACCAGTCCTGTTCTGACCCGAGTGGATGATGCTGGCAAAGACGGACATGCCCCATATCGCCTCCTTAATCAGGTATCCTCGACGTTGTTTTATTTCACATTTTACTGTCTATCCTCTGGATACTGAATATTTCAAACCGTTCCAAACGAATGCAGTAGAAGCTGTCTTGGTCAAAATTCATGCTTTTTATAAGCATCTGGAGAAAATGTTGATCCTAAAATTGCCCAAATAGCATTCCTCTTCGGGTGGTAGCGAGCAATATGGTTTGAGGTGAATCAGTCCACTAACGGGTCACGAGAGTTCACAAGAAGAAAGGCTCTCCTGGGGCTGAAGAATTCTAAATAAGAAACGATGCCACCTTCAGTAACCGTTGCTATACGGCGTGGGCGGAGATGTTTGTGACGTCAGTCATGACGGCTTCCGTCCTATTTTTTGTCTGAGAAATGAGAACCTGTTCTACATCATCTACATTTATTAGTCTGGTGATCTTGTCTTACGAATTCATCTTGCTTCTTGGATATTTTCCACATATGAATTTCTTTACTTCCCAGTTTATGGTGGTGATCATGGCGGGGAGCAACGGGTACCTTTGGGGAGCCCTCACTGGTTTCACCGCAATGGGGCTTCATAGCATCAAGACTGATCCTGAAGCACCTTTCAACGTCACTCAGGAATACCAATCACTCTTCGGTCTGCGCGCACTACTTTTTATTCTGCATGGAATGATTATGGTTAGGTTGGGTGAGAATAAAACGAGCAAAGTAAACCTGAAATATGGAACCAAAGGCGAGGCAACCCTATTATGTAAGATGTACAAGGTATGGTAAAAAGAAAGAAAGACCTATGAATTTTGACTTGTTTCTGCACACTGTAGCTATTTTCGTGAAACTCTCACTTTGAGTGTTTCCAGCTGAAACTTTAATTTTCACACGGTATTGCTTCTGAGATATTTGTTTTCCCGTATTTATTGAAGAGAAGTTATCCATTGAGAATGGACAAGACCTCCTGCTGGTAGTGGAGTGGAAGCAACACTCGAGTGCTGTCATCGAGACCGCATCGAGTTCCTCTTCCATTTGAATTTATTCAACTGTCAATCTTTCCACTCAATTCGAACAAAATCCAATGCTTCTCTCAGTTATTAAAAAATTATCATTATTATTATTGAAGGAAGGATATGCAGTGCCTTTGACTCTGAAACACGCTTGCATTCACGGACTGGCACCATGTTCTCCTATTTTAAAGCTCCTATTTTTTTAATGAATATTATTCTTATCTTTCTTGCAGGCGGAGGAGGTCACTTGGGTTCGATGGCGGGTGCCCTCACTGGCGGTTTTGTGGCCGAGCTACTCGGCCGTAAACGGGTACTCCTGCTGTACATCCTCGTCTACATGGGGGCATGGCTTCTGATCGCTTTCCCAGCCTCACTCGCTATGTTCATTACCGGGCGTCTAATCACGGGATTTGTTTGTGGAACCCGCCATGTATCCGTCTATATGTACGTTTCCGAATGTGCACATCCGAAAATCCGCGCACGGATCGGCACGTCCGTGCAATGCTGCCAAATGCTCGGTGTTCTCCTGAATTACATCCTGGGATCCTACCTACCATGGAGAGAGCTGGCCATCATCAATGCTTGCCTACCTTTGCTACTCTTCATCGCCATTTTATTCATCCCGGAGTCACCGATGTGGCTCATTGCAAAGGGGCGAATGGAAGCCGCTCGAGCAAGTCTTCAGAGGCTTCGAGGACGAGACATCGACGTATCTGCTGAGTTCCAGGATATGACCTCTCACTTCCAGAATACCAAATCCTCCCTCACGTCTTGGAAAATGATCTTCCGCTTCTCCTACTTGAAACCAATTTTCCTTCTACTAATCATGGTCATCCTGCGACAGTTCACGGGGTTCGTCGTGATTCTGTATTATGCCTTCGACATCTTCCGAGAAAGTGGTATCGGGATGAATCCGTACCACGGGACGATGATCTTGGGGTCGTTCCAGTTCGTCGCATATCTGGTTGGAGGATACATCATGGATCGACTCGGACGTCGACGGGCCATCGTCGTCTCTGCATCTGTCATGGGTGTCGCTGAATTCTCCCTCGCTATTTTCTACTTTCTCAAGAGTCAAGATCATCTTGAGCATCTGGTTATCTTCGTTCCCTGGTTTCCCCTCTTGGCCTTGATGATCACCATGATCGGATTCTCCCTCGGAGCAGGAAGCATCATCGTCATCTCCGTCGGGGAGCTCGTCCCCATCCAGATCAAGAACAAGGCGACAGGCTTGATCAATTTCTTCGTTACCGGTTTTGCCTTCACCATCCTGGAAGTATTTTTCTACATGGTGGACGCGATTCAGTTTTACGGAACGTTTTGGGTATTCTCATGCTGCTGCTTCGGCCTGGCTTTGTACTTCCACTTTGTCATGCCTGAGACCAAAGGCGAAAGCCTTAGTCAGATTGAGCGCAAAGTCACTCAAACAAACCTGGACAGCAAATGCTCCTGAACCATTAGTCATTCTTCTGTGAGGAATTTCCAATGATAGGTTCCAATTCTAGGTATCAATTGCTCGCCACCAAAGATGAGATTTGTAGTGGTGGTGGTTATGCTTTTTTTGACCTTCGTGCAATCATCTGACATTGGGCCTCTTACATAAGGAGGATATCGTACTCCGAATCGGATATTCATCATGACATTTTGACTTGACAATCCTGTTTATTTCTTATTTAATCCACCTTTTGTTACGAAAATTATTAATAAAAACACACGTTAAAGAATCGTTTTATTTTGGGGTTGAATGATGATATAACTGTTGGATTGTTGATATGGAATAAGGGAAAATTCAGAGCAAACCTGTGTTTCCTATGACCATATGCATCGTAGTCGTTGGGCAATACGGTTTTGACGCCTCTGTCATGACGATCTGCTTCCTATCCACCTCAAATTGTAATAGGTGAGTTGAGCAGACAAACTTCAGGTACAAACAAGCCATTATGAACTTTCCCTTTGTGATATGAGAAAAGGAAAACTCAATCCCAGGAACATCCTGGCACACGGGAGACGGACATTTACAGTTTGGGTGGGGGCGACAATAAAAGTAAGAAACATAAGTAAAAAAAAGTTGGGCATTACGAGAGGATGGAATGAGCTTCCTAAATTCCCGACCTTTTCTCATCGTTCATTTTCTCGATTAAGCAGCTGCTGGCCGTGTGAGATAGCCGACCGTAATGTCACTGGTTAAGACAGTTATCACCGTTAAAAAAAATTAAAAGTATACCTGCATGATTCCTGATCTGAGATCGTCCTGGTGTTTGCATGCTTTTATATCTGACAGTAAGGTAGAACTGAAAAGAAAAGGGACACCCGAGAGACTGCTCCCTGTTTGCGAATGCAATTGGGATTGTGCTTGAGGAACTGGAAAAATTCCCCAGTCGCAATCATAAAAACTATGAATATTAGTATCTCAGTAATAAAATATATTTGGGTTTCTAAAGAATTCGTAATTATTCCTGCAAGATTAGAAATCAATGCAAGGGAGAGGTCACTGAAAATGTCCCACTTGATCTCTGAATCACATTGCCAACTTGAACGGTCATAAGTCCATTGTCCATATGTTCTATTTCGTTGCTGAGTGTACAAGGCAGCAAGTTGCCATACTGCGTTACTCGGGAAATCAGTCATAAATGAGGAAATTTTAGTTCATGTCTTAGGAAGAAAGAAAGCCATCGACAGAATAATACGAAAATATATCTTTATGCAAAGGATTTTCTTACCGTTCCAATGCTCTAAACTAGATCCAGCCCAGAACTCGAACCTTATCAACGTTCAAAAAGATTTACAGGAATTTTGACTCTCCCCGAATGTCTGATGAATACATGGTATAAATTACCCCTCCCAAGGAATTCTACCCCAAATATTCTATTCTGCCCCAAATTCGCGCTGATATAGCAAAACCGGAATATACGCAAGATTCTCTGGGGCAAATGCAATGTTCCAATAAAAACATGATTTGATTGTTGCTAAAACCTGCCTTTTATTGGGAAGCTCAATACACTGGGTCATCTGAAACCTGAACCTAATCTGTTTCCTTTATTTTAAACCACATCCCAATTCAGGCAAGTCACTCTTCCTGCGTTTGGTGACGTGCATGAATATGTGAATTACGTAAAATACAAGATAGCAGTAACAGAACTATGATAGGAGCACCTTCCGCAAAATGGCGTTCCGCATGGAAAGGGCGTTGAAAGATGCTCAGCGCGGTTTCGTGAAGTTTTTGAGTTTCCGACAGCTGAAGAGACTCCACTGCATCAGCGGACATCCAGTGCAGAATGGTCACTATGCAACCACGCCGTTTGTCTTAATGCATAGTGCTGAAATGAACTGTGCCCTATCACTAGGGGGAAACCTTCTGGACAATTGACGGATGGCTTCATCCTCTTTCATAATAATCGGCTGTGCACGACAAGCAATGCTTGATCACTAAGAAAATTTTCGGGAATTTCCGATTATTTTTCGTAAAAATTTCCGACGAAGGACCTGTAAACCCGGATTTCGCCTCATGCTCATGAAATATTTCCTGCATTTCTTTGGAAAGCCCACTTCGTCTTCTTCGAATTTTCCCATTCCTCTTTCACAAAATATTACGACTACGGGACCAACGTGCGAATTCCGACGTTCAAGTGAACGACTCTTTTCCTCGTTCGCGTCAGAAAAGCCTGTTTCGAATATTCACCGAAATATCCTTCGTGATCGTTCGGACCTTTCAGTATTGCCACCTCGAGGAAGCCACCCGATACCTTTAGTTTCCAACCTGAACGATAGATAACTCCCGCTGGCCTCAGATATCCTCTTAAATATGACACCGTGATGATTCGAAAAACGTATTGCTTTCATTCTCGAGATGAAACGTATTTTTATGTGTATTTCACTGTCGGATACAGGGGAGACGAAGAGCATGACAGCTTCTTCTTCCCGTTGGGAGAGGAACTGCTCTGAAACGATGGACACCCGAATTCACCAACCTCATCTACATTTCCTGGCTGACGGCGGCCCGCACTTCTTGAACCAATCAAAATATAAAAGATACAAGACTCTGTCATTCTTCCTTGACACTCTCTTTGAGAAGAGAGGGGCGAGAATGGATCGCGATCGTTTCGAAAGTGATTAAAAGGAGGTACTGAAGAATCGCGTTAGTGAATAGAACGTACAGCATCTCCATGATAGGGATGCACTAAATACTCAGAGTAATAAAGGGAAATTGCGTAATGACGATGAAATTACATTAATTATGCAGTATTTCGAATGGAAAGGAGCCGTTTTTGAATAATGAAGGGAATTAAGAAAATCCGAATGAGACAAAAATTACTTTTGTAAACAGGAACCCGATTCCGACTATGGATTAAAATTTTCTGAAAAATGAGAGGAAAGCTCCATTACTCGCTTTAGTCGGAAAGATCGATTTCGGGGTTTTCTCGGAACAGCTTGTTTACGTTAAAAATAGGTGTGGTTTCCGCTATGAACCGGAATCCGCTTCTCCGCGCATTAGACGGAAGCCCTGTTTCCGATGCTTTATTCGGAATTATTTTTTACAGTGTGATTCGAAACAATTTTCGGAATTTTCAAATTCCATCGTTAAGATATCCTACGCATTAATAAGGGAGGGGAAACCCTACTTTTTTTGGGACATGTTAATCCGTGTTACGATTCAAATCGTCTGGGTGTTGGCGACCCACACCGAAGGTATTGACAAGCAAATTATGATGAAATTGCATTTGATTTGAATCACTCAGCTGCGTCTCATGTTCTCTCTTCGGGAAGCTAGAGAAAGGGTGAGAGTTAGTCACAATCTTTTTTGAGGATAAGGAAAACTTTAAGATGACCTTAAGATGCCGACTGCAGGAATGGAGTGTTAGACAGGAAACAGGACACATCGTTGTGTAATGAATGCAATGAAGGAATTCCTGAATAAGGCAGAAAACCGTCACGCCTCAGGGGACGATATGAAGAAATCTTTTCTCAAACGGAAATGACGATTTTGACTGAACAGAAGAAATCCAGGAATAAGAGGAACTTGAAATGTTAAAATCCCTTTTATTGCTTCCAGTCAATTTAGTGAATAATTTTAGTGAATGCTCGCGGCATTTAAAAAAAAAAGAATTTTGGATAATAATAATAATAATAAAACACTTTTTCCATTATAGGGAAACAATGAAGAGAGAACATTGAAGTATTTGTACTATTGATTTGGTGAAGGTTGCCTAGAATTGGGATTCTGCCTCCAGGTGAGCTGGAATCCATATTATAAGAGGAATTTGAATTAGAATTCATTGGACGATTGGATGACGCACTTTTTGCACTTTTCTCTTAACAGAGCGGTTCCATGATTTTCTCGGAACAGCATGACTTTGCGAGAAAACAGGAAACAAGGTTCCGGCTATTGCGCCAGAATTCCCTTTTTCACACTTTACTCGGAACTTCCTGAAAGGATTTTTTAAGGTGAAAAAAAAGGGGCAAGAACGAGGCAACGGGTCAAGATCGGTGGGGGCTGGTTATATCCTAAAAATGTATTGGTCTTAAACCCTTAACCGGAGATTGTAGGGAAAAGGAAAGGTGCGGAGACGAAGCCAATGAAATGCTGAATGCTGGAAGAAAAATTAATAAGAAAATCTCAGGAACAACGATCTCTTATAACTCGAACGCGCCATGAGGTGAAGAGCGTAGCGAAGCACTGCCAAATTAGCCCTGGATTCTCACGAACGACAGCAGGACATCACAGATACGAATTCAAAGTATGATTGTAAATTATTACACAGGCCACGAAAGATACGCTGTCAATGGATGACCGGTGACCCAACGGCAATCGGCTCGATCCATACATCCATACACGAAAAATCGAGTTGCTGACGATTTGGTCAGTGAGACCATTTCCTTACTTCCGCTTACGCTCTATATTCTTTATGCTGCCACCTGCGTGCTTCAGCATCGCAAGCAAACTTCAGGGAAATCTATTGCAAAGTTATTTTTAGTTCGGTGGGCTCAATCACGGTCACCTAAGCATATTAAGTATGGTCTCTGCGCTCCCATTCGAGAGGTTGTGTGGGGATCGATAACGTCGCTAGATGGCAAAGTTTTGCGGCACGAGGCAAATCTTTGAATGAAGGGGTACATCATGATGGAAGGAAACTCACAATTGCCACCACGAAATGGCGACGTTTTCCAAATGGCTGCTTCAGGGATGCAACTTGCAATCAACATAATACGAGGCGCGTCCAGAAAGTAAGAACCGGTTGGGTGTAAAAAGTTTTATTATAATAAAAAAATTTAAAAAAAATTATCTCTATTGCAAATGTTGGTACTTACATTAAACTACTTCTCCACATTGTCGCCATGTAAATTAAGGCACTTATCATACCGTTGGACCAGCTTTTCTATGCCTTCATTGAAGAAGGTCGCCGCCAAGCCTTTCAGCCACTCCTGCACAACGTCTTTGATCTCTTGGCCACTCTT